GGTGTCGTGCTGGGGGCCCATGCGGGTCCTCCGAACCTGTTTACTCTGCTCCGAGAGCTGCCGCGCCGAGGTGCCGGCGGAACCGCTGCTCCAGCCACAAGAGTCGCGCTGGCCACCCGTGTGTTTCCTACACTGGGGGATCTTCTGCTCCGTGAGCGACCAGAATTTGTCTGAAAGTGTGGCGTCCTCTAGTTCTCCGCGCCTTCCCTGAGAGCTGCAATCCCGGGATGTTAGCGATCGCCATCTTGGATCGTTCTCTATTTTTAATGGCAGAAGAACAACTATTTTGTGAGGCTAGAATGGACATATATTATGATCTCTATTCTACAGGTACCTTTGATACTCTCATCCACAACCCAAATAACTCTGCTCTTCCTCTTATATTTTTAAGTTCATCATTCACCAGCTGACCAAGTGAAAAAATGCAGACACCCTGGAATCCTTCCTCACTCCTCAAAACCAATGAGACTGGTTAATTTCTGCCTCCAAACCACCTCCTGGGCCAGGCACTGTAGCTCACACCTGTAATCTCAGTACTTTAAGAAGCTGATGTGATATGGGTGGATCACTTGAGCCCAGGAATTAGAGAATACCCTTGACAACACGGGAGACCCTATCTCTATTAAAACTTTAAAAAAAAATTAGCCAGGCCTGGTGGCATGCGCCTGTGGTCCCAGCTACTCAGGAGGCTGAAGTAGGAGGATCACCTGAGCCCAAGAAGCTAAGTCTGCAGTGAGCAGTGATGGTGCCATTGCACTCCAGCCTCGGTGACAGGAGGCAGGACACCCTGTGTCAAAGAAACAAACAAAAAACAAACAACGAAGCACCTCTTAGATTTAGTACTCTCCAGATTCCTGTTACCAAGATGACTGCACAAGAGGTTTTTAATGGTCCCCTGTACACAGATTCTTGTGCTCTCTCATCCTCCATTTAGCCATTAACGCCCTCCTTCTGAAAGAAAAGCCACATCAATCAACTGCTTTAAGTCCTTTACTGACTTTCCCATATCAAATGCCTCAATGTGACACTAAGATCCCCTCACAATCTGGCTGTATTTCACCTTCCCCATCTACCACTACTTTCCCACATACATTTTAAGCTCCAGAGTTGGGAGTATTCCATTTTTAACTCCTTGTGTTGCCTTTTCCCATTTCTCTGTCTAGCAAACTCCCATTCAACCTATTATATTGACTTTGAAGTTATGAGAGGCTTCTCTCTCTTCCCCAGCCTTTTTTATGGTCTTAAAGAACTTTATTTTAGGATTAATCACACACTTTGTTGTAAGTTTGTTTCCTATTAAGGTAAGAACTCTGAAAGTCCTCAGGGCCCAGACAGTGGCTGATACATATTAATCTTAAGTGTTTACTGAAAAATGACTGAATTCAATCAGACACTATAAGCTACATGCAAGGATTGTATTATGTACATTGTGTTGTGCCTAATAATTCATAATGGGCATTAAAGCTCTGAAAAGTTTATGATGTGGTCTCCGAACTAGAAAAAGAGGATTCAGAGATGAGGCACCATGTGTTTGCTTATATAAATTCAATTTATTCAACAAATATTTATTGGGCCATGTGAATGAGGTAGTGAACAGGAGGTAAAGTTGTTGGACTTCTTACTCTAATTCTAGGGATATGGATATACTTTATTTACTTATCCATTAAACAACTATGTCTGTTACCAGCAACTTATGTTGTGGTTGGGTAGAAATTTGCATATTTCTGCAGGATGCAGTGACTCACGCCTATAATCCCAGCATTTTGAGAGGCTGAGGCGGGTGGATCACTTGAAGTTAGGAGTTCAAGACCAGCCTGGCCAACATGATGAAACTTCATTTCTACTAAAAATACAAAAATTAGCAGGGTGTGGTAACATGCGCCTATAATCCCAGCTACACAGGAGGCTGAGGCATGAGAACTGCTTGAACCCGGGAGGTGGAGGTTGCAGTGAGCTGGGATTATACCACTGTACTCCAGCCTGGGTGACAGAGCAAGACTCCATCTCAAAAAAAAAAAAAAAATCACATATTTCTGACTGTTCTCTCTGCAGGAAGGAGAAAAAGGCGGGGTAGACAACAAAGGTGAATGCAGCTATCTTAGTTTCATGTTGCTACAACAGAAAAGCAGAGTCTGGGTAATTTATAAAGAAAAGAAATGTATTTCTCAGAGTTCTGGAGGCTGGGAAGCCCAAGGCTGAGGGGCCTGTTTCTTTCAAGGGCCTTCTTGATGCCCATGGGTCAGCCCGTGGCAGAAAGTAAAAGGGCAACAGATCAAGATGGCAGGCAAGCAAGAGAGGGTGGAACTAACCCACTCCCTCAACAACCAACCCACTCTCAGGATAACACTAATCCAATCCATGAGGACAGAGTCCTCATGGTCTAATTATTTCTCACAAGTCCTACCTCTTAATAAAATTAAAATGGCAAATAAATTTCAACATAAGTTTTAGAGAGACATTCAAACTATAGTAATAATGAATTCAATTTTCTATTTTTGCTCTGTCACCCAGGCTGGAGTGCAGTGGTGGCATCTTGGCTCACTGCAACCACTAGCTTCAGGGCCCAGGCGATCCTCCCACGTCAGACTCCCCAGGAGCTGGGACTACAGGCACCCACCACCAAGCCGGGCTAACTATTGTATTTTTTGTTGAGATGGGGTTTCACCATGTTGCCCAGGCTGGTCTCAAAATTCCTCAACACATCAGTATTCCTGCCTCAGCTTCCCAAAGGGCTGGGATTACAGGTGTGAGCCACCACTCCTCGACTGCAATCTACTTACTCTTTTCTTCAGTTCACTGCAACTCTGTCTCCTGAGTTCAAGTGATTCTCCTGCCTCAGTCTCCCAAGTAGCTGGGCCTACAGGCAGGTGACACCATGCACAGCTAATTTTTGTATTTTTAGTACAGATAAGGTTTCACTATGTTGGCCAGGCTGGTCCTGAACTTCTGACCTCAAGTGATCTGCCTGCCTTGGCTTCCCCAAATGCTGGGATTACTGGTGTGAGCCACTGCACCCAGCCTGCAGCCCACTTTTCAATCACATAAATCAGATCCCACCATGGTTCTACACAATACATTTTTTTTTCTTTTTTTTTTTTTTTTCCAGGACGTGGCCTCTCTCTCTCTCCCAGGCTGGAGTGCAATGACACAATCTTGGCTCACTGCCACCTCCGCCTCCTGGGTTCAAGTGATTCTCCCCCCATCAACCTCTGGAGTAGCTGGGATTACAGGCAACTGCCATCATGTCTGGCTAATTTTTCTATTTTTAGTAAAGATGGGGTTTCACCATGTTGGCCAGGCTGGTCTCGAACTCCTGACCTCAAGTGATCCACCCGTCTCAGCCTCCCAAAGAGCTGAGATTACAGTCATGAGCTGGCACGTCCAGCCTGCACAATGCCTTTTAACCACATCCCATCATATTTAGGAAAAGTCTTTCACCATGGACCACAGGCCCTACATGATCTGGTCCTGCCTACCTCTCTCCCTTGCTCACCCCATTCCCAAGCACATGGAACCTCTTGCTCTTCTCTGAACACACCAAGCTCACTTCTGCTTAAGGGCCTTTGCTGTGTTATTCTCCCCTTCCGACAGTCACTTCTTCCAGATTTCTGGTTTACTCTCTCACTTCGTTCAAGTCTCTGTTCAAATGCCATTTCCCCAGAGAGGACTTTCACAACCACCCTATTTAAATCTGCAAGGGAAGGCAGATCACTTGAGGTCAGGAGTTAGAGACCAGCCTGGCCAACACAGTGACACCCTGTCTCCACAAAAAACACACACACACACAAATTAGCCAGGGGTGGTGGCATGCTTGTAATCCCAGCTATTCTGGAGGTTGAAGCAGGAGAATCACTTGAATCTGGAAAGTGGAGGTTGCAGTGAGCTATCGTGCCACTGCACTCTAGCCTGGGTGACAGAGTGAGACCCTCTCTCAAAAAATAAATAAATAATAACAACATAAAACTGAAGTCCCACCCCTATTCCTTTATCCTGATTTATTTTCCTGTATACTTTAACACTGCCTCTTAATAATTACATATTGTTTATCACCTACCTGCCAGAATGGGGATGTGCATGTCTTTTTCACTGTAATTTGCAATACTAACCAGCACCTAGAACAGTGCCTGGCACAAAGCAGCTTCATAATAAATATATGTTAAACACGTGAATTTCATTCTCACCACAGTCATTCAATTCCTATGACCTTGATTAATTCGTTGAGCAAACAACCAAACTCTGACCCTTAAGTAAAAGCAGTAAAACTTCAAACTTCAAAGTCTTATCCTTGACATCAAGTTCTATATGTTCGGAGGCCAAGAACTACAGTAGGTCTTCCTAAGGATTTAGGGCCGAAAAACGCTAGCTCCTCCAGACAGAACTCGTAGCAACCTGCTTCATGAAATTAAGGGGTAGTAAATAGTCTCAGCGGTATAAAATGTTCAAAACAAGGCCACATCTAAATGTCACAATTGGGTTTTAAATGTCCCCTTGTTGGTAAGTAACTGGTATTTACCAACACCCCCAAATTATGATTCCTTTGGGTTTTTAACCCTTTTTTTGTGCCATAGATCCTCTGACAGTCTAGTGAAAACTAGACCTGTCTTGAAACTAATACTTTCAAATGCATAAAAGAAACAAAAAACAGCTACGAAAGAAACCCATTCTACCACAAGACCGCAGATACAAAAGCCCCACTGCTCTGCTCTGTTTGCCGCAGTGAAAAAAGAGACGAGAAAATGTGGAAGGCCATGGAAGGATCCCAGGGAACTGAACCCCGACGTCCGTCCCGGGGCAACGTCCCCAGTTCACTCTCAGTGGCAGCAGGGAGACCTGGGGCTGGAACCCAGCCAGTCGTAGGGGGCGTGTCCGCGGACGCGGAGCGAGGAGACGCGGGCCCGGGGCTGGGAGGAAGGTGGGGGAATCTTCCTGCCGAAGCGCGCGGGGCCGAGCTCCCCACGGCGTGACCCCTCCACGGCGTGACCCCCCCGCCCCGGCCTCACCGGTCCCCGCCGTCCCCAGCAGCCGCTCGGGCACCCCTTGCAGGTCTTCATGGAGGCCGCGGAAGATCTCGTGCAGCTTCTCGAAATGCTCCGAGGAGGCGGCGGAGGTGGCCATGGCGCAGGCCGCGCTCGAACAGCGGCCACTGAGATTCGGGGCGCTGTGCCCTCTCCTAGCCCGGCGGTCAGCCGCCCAGCGCCGAGGCCATCACGGCGACCGCCGCGCCACAGCCGCCCAGGACGAGGTTCTTCCGGGGCCACGGCAGGGTCCTCCGGAGCCGGAACGCCCACCCTCTCCAGCCCGTGATTGCGGGAGCGCCGGCGTGAAAGCCTGACAGGAAGTCAGGCAACTGCGCGCCCCAGGCGACTCCTGAGGCAGCGGTGCCGCGCCGGGGCGAGCAGCAGTCGCGGAGTCCGAGAAGTGCCCGGTCCAGGGTGGGCAAAGGCGCCGCTGCGAAAGAGCCCTAGGGGACCTGCGAGACGGGCAGCTCGGCCGCCTTCTTCCCGGGTCCCCTCGGCGGGTGAGGGGGCGGGCGCTGCAGTGCACGCCGGGGGATGTAGTTTGGCTCTGAGAGCATCCCGTCCCGGGGTCGCGCGTTGTCCCGGCCGCGAGTTTCAGCTCTCGCCGCGGCAGTGGACTCCGGCCCGGTAGCGAGGTGGTTTGGTGTGTGTTTGTGTCTAGACGTCGTCCTCACTGTCATCGCGCTTTGCTTTGGCATCCTGACCCGACTTCATCATTTCGCGTTTTGACTGAATGTTAGCTTTTCAGCCCTGGAAAGATAGCTGGGCCGGGGGCTGTGCTTGCCATCGGGAGGTGGAGCACTTTCCTTGGGAGGCCCAGCGGCTCCCCACGCTTTCAGAAGTGGAACCCAGCCGGGTGAGTGGCTCGCGCCTGTAATCCCAGCACTTTGGAAGGCCGAGGTGGGAAGATTGTTTGAACCCAAGAGTTCGAGACCAGCCTGGGCACAATAGTGAAAGGTCTACCAGAAACCCAAAATAGGAGTCGGGCGTGGTGGCGCGCACTTTTGGCCCCAGCTACCCCAGAGGCTGAAGCAGAAGGATCACTTGAGCCCAGAAGGTTGTCTGCAGAAATCCCACCACTGCACTCCAGCTTGGGAGGCAGAGGGAGACCTTGTCTCCAAAAAACAAAAATTCAAAACAGAAACCCGGTTAGGATGAAATACTAACACAGAGATGACCAAGTCTGAGGTTACCGTCAATGTACTGTGTAAGTCCCACAACACAATGCTAGGACTTGTCACCGTACAGAAGTAGGGGGCACATGCAAAATACTCTAGCTGTCAGGCCTGCCTAGTGCACTAGGTTGCCTCGTGCACTTTTTCACAACAGGTGTTTGTCCTGCATAGGCACTGTGAGAGATCTGGGCATGTTGGTGAATAAAACATTTATTCTCTGCTCTTGGGGAATTGATAACCTGGTGTGGAAGGTGGACCTGGCTTCATTAGGTCCCATCTGCCACTGTGTCACGTGTTAACAATTACAAGGTCCTTTCCTGCACTCTCTGGGTATAAATTCCTATCTTAAGGTCGGGAGTGGTGGCTCACGCCTATAATCCCAGCAATTTGGGAGGCCAAGGTGGGCGAATCATTTGAGGTCAGGAGTTTGAGACCAGCCTGGCCAACATGATGAAACCCGTCTCTGCTAATACAAAAATTAGCCGACCGTGGTGGTGAGCACCTGTAATCCCAGTGACTCGGGACGCTGAGGCAAGAGAATCGCCTGAACCCTGGAGACGGAGGTTGCCATGAGCTAAAGTTCGGGCCACTGCACTCCAGCCTGGGCAACAGAGCAAGACCCTATCTCAAAAAGATTAAATTCCTATTTTCACCGATTTCAGTTTGCTCAAGGTGTCTATTCTCAAATGTTTGCTTGAGAGCTCAATATTAAACTGCTTACAAATATTAAAAGATACATGAATGCTCAGGGGAAAATACTTTGCTAATTTATACCTCCTGGGCTCTCATTTTTATTAGATAAAGTTCATTAGCTGTTGATTCAACACACTTTGGTTGAGCTCTGAATATACACTGAGCACAGAGATGACCAAGTCTGAGGTTACTGTCAGTGTACTGTATAAGTTCCACAACACAATGCTGGGACTTGTCACGGTACAGAAATAAGGGGCAGGTGCCAAAAAAAAAAAAAAAGATTAATAGCCTGGAGCTGAGTGCCACGACCCATGCCTGTACCCCAGCACTATGGGAGGCTGAGGCGGTAGGATCTGAGACGAGTCTGGGCAACAAAGCAAGACTCTAATAAAAAAGAAAAGAGAAATTGCCCGGGATGATCAAGAAATGTGAAAAAAATGGTCTGTGAAGAGTGTAAAGAATGTAAGTAGGAAACAGTGAATTAATAATCAGATTATCATACAACCTAAATTAAGAGCATGTGGATTGAGATTGCACTGTAGCTAGACTCTGGGACAAATTATTCTTTAGAATGAGAAATCATTGCATAAAGATAATAATTAACAGTGTTTTCTTCTTTTGACTATAATTAAACTTTTAATTGTTAGTTATTCTGGTAAATGAAAACAAAAAATCATCAAAAAGAATTTTTATTTGTCATTGACAGTTCAATATAAATTAAGTAAAACATTAATTCATTTGTTCTGTACTATTATCAGAATTTTTCCATAAAATGACCATTTCTAAACATATAGCTTAATGGTCAAAACAAGGTCAATAAAAGATTAATTTACAATTATCAGAAGTGAAGACTCTGGTCCTATAACTCTTTCTCCCACCAAAGTTAAAATACAATTGTCATGCCAGGAAATCACAAACTCTTTTAGAATAGCACACTCCAAACAAGTGATGGGAACTCTACTAATTCCTCAGACTTCCTTTGGCAGCGTTACTTTTGATAAAGATTCTCCAAATACAGAATTTTGGCACATAGACCTTTTAATGTCAAGACAATATAAGGAAATGCCCCAAAAGATTATTAAATTGACCATAATTACCAATATCGGTCCCTAAGATAATTTTTCTGGATAAAGAATTGGTGGGGTTTTCTTGTTTGTTTTTAGAATATTCTTTTTTGCCACAATGGTTTTTATTCAGATAGTACCTCATCAGTCTTGGGGGCTGGCCCTCAATTCCTCCATAGCTATGTTAGTATATCTTTTGCTATTTTCTTAGTCTTTAGTCCCTTCTCCCAGCGTTCTCCTTCTTTTGTTGACTTCCCTGCTACCCATGTGCTCTTGGTACCCATGTTGGGTGGTTCCCAACATACACAGAATCAGTTTCCCTTTGCGGAGTTTTATTTGCATAAATGGCACTGGTTTGCATGGTCTCTGATTATTGTGCATTTTGAACTTTGTGAAAATACTCCCTTGGCATAAATACACAGGAAGACACACAAAAATATACACAGTGACAATGACCAAACAGCCTTTCTTCTCATTTCCTAAGAGAAACTAAGGCACAAAAAAGGAGGCTTCCATGGGCCTGGGGTCACTAACTGGAGTCCAGTGGCCTATCTTTTCATAGTGTTCCTCTTGTTACCTACTTCCTGGTCTGAGAAACAGGAAAATGACAGTTTGAACTTGATTATAATTTCTGCCTCCCCTACATTTCTGCCATTCCCCAAACCTCACAAACTTCTTAGAAAAGGGAGTTCTGTGGTTTAGACATAAGACAGCATCTTAAGAGTGGTGGCTTTAGGTTGTCAGCAATAAGGCCATGCCATAATCCAGCTTCAGTTAAGAATCTCCTGAGAGAATCCAGAAGTTGGTGCATGACAGTTAAAGAGGTCAGCGTCAAGCCCTGCTTTTTTTTTTTTTCTTAAGACAAAGTCTCGCTCTGCCGCCCAGGCTGGAGTGCAGTGACAGGGTCTCAGCTCACTGTAACCTCCACCCCTGGGTTTGAGTGATTCTCCTGCCTCAGCCTCCTAAGTAGGTGGGATTACAGGTGTGCACCACGATGCCTGTCTAATTTTGTATTTTAATAGAGGCAAGATTTCACCATGTTGGCCAGGCTGGTCTCAGACTACTGACCTCCAGTGATCCACCACGCCTGGCCAAGTCCTGCTCTTGAGCCAAGTCATTGTGATTCATGGAGTTTAGCTGAGGCTGCAGTGTGGCCCTCATGAAATGAAGACTAGTTGGTTGGGAGGAACTGAATTGTGAACAAAAAAGCTAGTCCAAATTGGCATAAATCATCCCTGCTACAGCTTAGATTCTCCTAGGTAGCAGTAGCTTTCAGAAGGAAAATATGAGCTGTGCAGGTCATATGAGGGTCTTCTTATTCTATTATGACATCTCTAGTAACTCTGGCAGCAACAGAAGCAAAGTAAATCTGGATATGATAGACATTTAGATGAATCTGGCAGTACACTGGGTTTTAACTGGACACCAAGCAGTAAAGGCTGGAAGGTTTTGCTCTCTTTGTGCTAAAGGTTGGAAACCTTGAGGAGAATCATAGGCAAGAAGTATTGTGTAATCTGCTGAAGTCTTCTCTTGGGTCCAACTGCCACTGCCACTGCTAGTCCATTGGGAGACCCAGCAGGTCACAACTGACGTCCCACAGCCGCCTTGCTACTGTCTCATTACGAGCTTGGGCAGAGACCCATGCCACATGACAGTCACTGGAAGGTAAAGAGAGAGGTATGAAGCACAGTGTTAATGAAGTCTGCCATCTGCCTGACATAAGGAATATGGCATAAAAACAACCAGGGATCACACGTCCTCCAAGCACTTCACAGGGCCAGTGTTTGTCCTATCTCTTCATTCTCCAGTCTTTACCCAGAGAAAATATAATTGCCATTTTAGATCTTCTCATTAGATTAATTCTGATCAGAATGCTTTGTTTGATATGTAATGTATACATTTGGTCTTTATATTCCCCTATTTATATAATTAAACTCTAGTATCAGTGCCTGCCTGACATCCATGTATATCCAACTTCTTCAAGTAAGTCCATAGGGCCATTCTACAGGGCCTTGGATAATGTCATATAGCTGAGATCCTGCTATTCACACTGGTCAGAGATGCTCGGAGTGGTTAAAAAAAATGCTTATTTCTGGACTACCTGAAGTTATAACTATTTGTAAACTCATATGAGAAGTAAAGCCAGCTTCAAAAACAACAAAAGGAAAAGGTGACAGCAGAAAAGAAATGGCAAAACCAAGGTACCAGGTGTCTTGATTCGTTTTGTGCTGCTGTAACAGAATACGACAGACTGCATAATGACAATGAGCAGACAGAAACTGGCTTATGATTATGGAAGCTGAGAAGTCCAAGATCAAGGGGCTGACATCTGATGAAGGCCTTCTTGCTGTGTCATAACAAGATGGAAGGCATCACATGGGCAAGAGAGGGAAGGGGACCCAAGTCATCCTTTAATAAGGAATCCACTCCCAGGATAATGAACCCATTCCAGAGACAATGGCATTAATCCATTCATGAGGGCTGCCCTTGTGACCTATATTAACTGCCTAAAAATCCCACCTCTCTACCCTGCTGTATTGAGGCTTAAGTTTCTAACATATGAACCTTGAGGGACATATTCAAATTAAAGCAAAGTGTTTCATATACCCTCTCTTCATTGTAAATCCAAGTTTGTTTGTTTGTTTTTGGAGACGGAATCTTACTCTCACCCAGGCTGGAGTGCAATGGCCCAATCTCAGCTCACTGCATCCTCCGCCTCCCAGGTTCAGGCAATTCTCCTATCTCAGCCTCTGGAGTAGCTGGGATTATAGGCGCCCACCACCATGCCAGGCTAATTTTTCTATTTTTAGTAGAGACAGCATTTTGCCATGTTGGCCAGGCTGGTCTCAAACTCCTGATCTCAAGTAATCCGCCTGCCTCAGCTTCCCAAAGTGCTGGGATTACAGGCATGAGCCACTGCACCCAGCCTGTAATTCAAAATCTTATAATTCTGATGCAGAAAAATTTTTTAAGGACAATTCTTACTCATTTTTGTATTCTCTGGATCTGGTACACATGTGGTAAGCATTCAATCAAAGTTGAAAAAAAAATGATTGAGGCCAGGTGAGGTACACACCTGGTAAGCTTTCAATCAAAGTTGGAAAAAAAAAATGATTGAGACTGGTTGAAACCCCATCTCTACTAAAAATACAAAAATTAGCCAGGCATGGTGGCATGAGCCTGTAATCCCACCTAGTCAGGAGGCTGAGGGAGGAAAATCCCTTAAACCCAGGAGGTGAAGATTGCAGTGAGCCGAGATCATGCTACTGTACTCTAACCTGGGCGACAGAGCGAGACTCGCTCTAAAACAAAAACAAAAACAAAAAAAGATTGAGTGAATGGATTGCAATCTTTAAAGTCATGTGAGAAAGCAATTTTTAAAAGTATACTGTTTCAAGAAAATTGCTTCCTCAGTATTCTAAGCAAATTCTGAAGGTGAAAGAGTTGAGAAGTATATTATGCACACTTTCAACACCATGTCCAGTAAGACAGTGGGATTCAAAGTGTGCACCACAAACCAGCAGCAGGAGCATCAACTGGGAGCTTGTTAGAAATTCTCCGGCCCTACTCCAGACATACTGAATCAGAATCTCTAGGGTTGTGGTCCCGAAGTCTGTTCTCAACTAGCTCTCCAGATGATTCTTGAACACACTAAAGTTTGAGAAATACCATTTCAAAATGTCTTCACATTTACAAAACAAGTCTTATCAGTACTTCTGTTTAAAAAGACTCACCAGTATGACCAGTACAGCTTGCCATTTCTTAATGAAAAGACCATCAGTGAGAACCACAAGGCTCTGTATCACTCTCTGGAAATGACTCAGCCTTAGTAAGCCTCTGCATCCTCCACTGCACTGTGCCTTATACTCTTCATAAGGTTACAGTGAAGAGCAGAGGACACAACTGACATGAAGTTTCCTTGCAGACTATAAAAAGTTTTCAAATACTACAAGAGCTTTTTGGTTGTTGCTTTTTTTTTTTTTTGAGACAAAGTCTCACTCTGTCGCCCAGGCTAGAGTGCAGGGGCACGATCTTGGCTCACTGCAATCTCCACCTCACAGGTTCAGGCAATTCTCCTGCCTCAGCCTCCTGAGTAGCTAGGATTAAAGGCATGTACCACCATGCCCAGCTAATTTTTGTATTATTAGTAGAGACAGGGTTTCACCATGTTGGTCAAGCTGGTCTCAAACCCCTGACCTCATGATCTGTCCATCTCGGCCTCCCAAAGTACTGGGATTATAGGTGTGAGGTTGTTGTGTTTTTTTTTTAGATAGGGTCTCACTGTTGCCCAGGCTGGAGTGCAGTGGCACGATCGCAGCTCACTACAACCTCAACTTCACCAGGCTCAGGTGATCCTCCTACCTCAGCCTCCCAAGGACCACAGGCATACACCACCGCACCCGGCTAATTTTTACATTTTTTGTAGAGGGGTCTACAAAACATTTGTTGCAAAAACATTTGTTGCAAAAAAAAAAAAGCAACAACCAAAAATGGGGTCTCATTATGTTGCCTAGGTTGATCTTGAACTCCTGGCCTCAAGCAACCTGCCCACCTCAGCCTCCCGAAGTGCTGATATTACAAATACAAGCCACCACACTCAACCAAGTAAGAGCTATTTAAGTGTGTTTCTGGCATCAGCATGGTCACAGTATTGATGTTTCCAGTGGGCTTTTGCTAACAATTAATAGAGGTAAAAGATAAACTAATTTCAAAACTGACCACAATGTTATAGTAATCAAGATAGTATGATACTGACATAAGAATAGACATTCAAATGGATGGAACAGAATTAAAAGTGCAAACATAAACGCTTATATTTATGGTCAATTGATTTTTGACAAGCTTACTGTTATACATTGAATTGTGTTCCCCCAAAATTAATATGTTGAAGCCCTAACTCCCAATATGACTGTATTTAGAGACAGGGCCTGGCCAGGCGTGGTGGCTCAAGCCTGTAATCCCAGCACTTTGGGAGGCCGAGGCAGGTGGATCATGAGGTCAAGAGATCGAGACCATCCTGGTCAATATGGTGAAACCCTGTCTCTACTAAAAATACAAAAAATTAGCTGGGCATGGTGGCGCGTGCCTGTAATCCCAGCTACTCAGGAGGCTGAAGCGGGAGAATTGCTTGAACCCAGGAGGCAGAGGTTGCGGTGAGCCGAGATTGCGCCATTGCACTCCAGCCTGGGTAACAAGAGCGAAACTCTGTCTCAAAAAAAAAAGAGACAGGGCCTTTAAGGAGGTAATTACAGTTAAATGAAGTCATCAGGGTAGGGCCCTAATCCAACAGGACTGGTGTCCTTATAAAAAGAGGAAGAGTTACCAGGAGTGTGTGTACATAAAGGAAAGGCCACGTAAGGGCTCAGAGAGAAGTCATCCATTTTAAGTCAGAAAGGCAGCCCTCACCAGAGACCAACCAGGCCAGCACCTTGATCTTGGACTTTCAGTCTCCAAAAGTGTGAGAAAATAAGTTTATGTTGTGTAAGCCACCTAGTCTGTGGGATTCTGTTATGGCAGCCTGAGCAGACTAATACAGCTACCAAGACTATTCAATGGGGAAAAAAACTGTCTTTTCAATGAATGGTGCTAAGGAAACTGATCCCTACCTCATATCATATACAAAAATTAGTTCAAGACTGGGCACGGTGGCTCACACCTATAATCCCGGCACTTTGGGAGGCCGAGGTGGGTGGATCACCTGAGGTCAGGAGTTGGAGATCGGCCTGGCCAACATCGAAAAACCCCATCTCTACTAAAAAATACAAAATTAGCTGGGCCTGGTGGTGTATGCCTGTAGTTCAGCTACTCAAGAGGCTAAGACAGAAGAATTTCTTAAACCCAAGAGGCAGAGGTTGCAGTGAGCTGAGATCACGCCACTGTACTCTTGCCTAGGCAACAGAGCAAGACTTTGTCTCAAAAAAAAAAAAAAGTTCTAAATAGATTACAGACCTAAATAATGCTAGAACTATAAAACTATTAGAGGAAAACATAGTAGTTGCTCTGGTTTGAATGTATCCTTTAAAAAAATCACATGTTGGAAACTTAATCCCTCTGCCCTTGTGAACAGATTAATTGATTAATAAAGGCTCTGCCCTCATACACAGATTAATGTCACTGTCGTGAAAGTGGGTTTGTTCTTGCTTGCCCTCTCACCATGTGATGCCCTCTGCCATGTTATGACACAGCAACAAGGCCCCAACCAGATGCCAAGCACCATGTTCTTAGACTTCTCAGCCTCCAGGACCATGAGCTAAGTAAATTTCTTTATAAATTACCCACTCTGTGGTATTCTGTTACAGTAACAGAAAACTGTCTTTACTAAAGACAGTAGTACATCTTTGTGACCTTGGGTAAGGCAATGATTTCTTAGATACAAGTGTACAAGTGACAAAAAAACAGATAAACTGGACTTCATCAAAATTTAAGACTTTCATATTTCAAAAGACACCATTAAGAAAGTTAAAAGACAACCCACAGAATGAGAGAATATTTGCAAATTATGTATCTGACAAGGAACTTGTATGTAAACTATTAACAACTCTTGTAATTCAACAATAAAAAGACAATTATCCAACTTAAAAATGGGCAAAGGACTTGAATAGACATTTCCCCAACAAAGATACAAGTGAACAAAAAAGCACACGAAAAAATGTTCAACATCATTAGTAGGAAAATGAAAATAAAAACAAGATATTCCTTCATACTCATTAGGATAGCTGAACTCAAAAGGAGAGACAATAACAAGTGCTGTTAAGGATGTGAAGTAATTAGAACACTCATACACTGCTGGTGGGAACGTAAAATGGTGCAGTCAAGTTGGAAAAATTTGGCAGTTCCTCAGCGGTTAAACTGTTACCATATAACCCAGAAATTCTACTTCTATGTACCCAAGAGAAATATCCACACAAAAATTTCTACACAAATGGTCACAGCAGTATTATTCAAATACTAAAAAGTGCAAACCCAAATGCCCATCACCTGATAAATGAATAAATAAGATGTGGCAAATCTATACAATGAAATGTTGTGCAACAATCAAAGAAATTAAGTACTGACACATGCGTTGACATTGATGAACCTTGATAACATTAAGTTAAGTAAAAGAAGTCAGTCACAAAAGGCCACATATCATATGATTCCATTTATATGAAATGTCTAATATAGGCAAATTCTTAGAGACATAAAGCAGATTAGTGGTTGGAGGCAGAAAGAAGAGCCAGTGCAAAAATCTTCAGGCTTCAATCAAAACAGACTTGTATATTCATTTCTTGATGGTGGTCTACATGGCTGCTATTGGATCTTCAAAATGAATTAAGAATCCACAGCACAAAAAAGGCTCTTCAAAAGTCAATTCAATAGTAAATTATGGATTTATAGCTGACTTTCTTTAAATCATTCAATTAAAACCAAGATAAAGGGTTTTTGTGTTTTTTTCTTATAATCTCCAGGGAAGAAGAAACCAGTCACTCTTGGAAAATCAATTCAGTGTGCTACATAAATCTATCTTCTTATACTTCAGAACCACATTTCCAACTATCTGCTATACATTTCTACTTGCATGCCTTATAGATAACACTCGACATGTACAGAGGTTGGTTTATTACAGAGTGGAGAATTGTTACTCTTTGGCTGAACATTCTACTTTTTGGCCATAGCAACCTGATTTCCTTCTGCAGAATTACCTTTTCCCCTTCAATATAGTTTGAAGAGAGTGTTAATAAAGTGGCTGTCTTCCTCTAATCAAAAGAGTGAAAATGAAGGGATGGGAGAAAGAAGAAGATCCAAAGCCTCCTCCCCAGAGAGTGGATGGTAAGCAACAAAACCTAAAGACTGAAAATAGCTGGCGTTCACTCACCCTGGTAGCAGTGCCCCAGCTAGCTGACTGCCACTCTGTTCTTAGTATGTCTCTTCAGACTTCCCTTTCAACCTAGGAGTCCCTCCTCTCCCTACTAATATTTTAATAAACTTCCTTCTTGCTTAAGCTAACCAAAGTCCATTTCCACTGCTTTGGAATCCAAGAACCCTAAGTTCCATACTACTTTTCCGTGTCTGCTGTCTTAATGTCATCAACCTCAGTCAGGCTTGAAATTCAGGTTAGCAAATCCTTCCCCCATCCCCTCATTTAATTAATCATCCAGTGATAAAAATTCTGCTGCTTCAGGGCCTCTTTCACACTACCATTCCTTTCATTCCAACTTTCAGGAACTCTTACTCTCACTAGAAACAAAGTTTCTAAAGCACAGACCAGATTATGTCTCTCTACTGAAACAACTTCTGGGGCTCCTCTACAAGGCTGGCACTATAGGCCTTTCATAATCTGTCTCCCTTTCTTTCCAATCTTAATGCTATTTTCAGCTTCTTTCCTAAAATTTCAACAGTAACCTGAAGTAGAGGTAAAAACACGTTAAAATTTTTATCTTACGTGATGCCTGGAATTTGCTTCAAAATAATATGGGAGAAGAAAAATACAGAAAATGGGGACAGGGCAGAAGTGGCCATGAGTTAATGGTAGCTGAGGCTCCGTTATATGCAGGTTCAGTGCACGATTTTACCTACCCCTGTGTTATGTTCAAAGTTCTCTACATTTACATCATTTTAAAAGTCTTCACTTATTCAAGAAAGGGAGTCCATAGGTAGTATTTCAATCCTGAAGACAATAAAGAAATACACATTCAAATTCTTTTTTTTTTTTTTTTTTTTTTTTTGAGGCGGGGTTTCACTCTTGTTGCCCAGTCTGGAGTGCAATGGCACGATCTCAGCTCACTGCAACCTCCACCTCCCAGGTTCAAGTGATTCCCCTACCTCAGCCTCCCAAGTTGCTGGGATTACAGGTATGTGCCACCACACCCGGCTAATTTTGTATTTTTAGTAGAGACAGGGTTTTTCCACGTTGGTCAGGCTAGTGTTGAAATCCTGACCTCAGGTGATCCGCCCACCTCAGCCTCCCAAAGTGCTGGGATTACAGGTGTAAGCCACCACAACCCGCCTCAAATTCTTTTAAATGTAAAACAATAGAACTAGGAATCCAAAAAGGAAAACTGGACTGATATAACAAAGATAGGAAGAAAACAAACAGAATACATAATTATCAATATAAAAGCATAAGTAAAATAAAATGGTAGCAGTTATCACAAAAGAGTCAAATTCTCCTATTAAAAGGTAAAAATTCTAGAGTTAAAAGATGAAAGCTATATTAGACAATGTACTTTTAAAAAAGGGTATACAAGACAAATCCAAATTATCTCCTTTGAGCAATAAAATCTCATCTTCAAAAAGAGATAAGATTCATACCTGAAATGATTTCCACTTAGAATCTCAAGACCTTCTGTTAAGGCACAGTGCAGGCTGGTCTGGGCTCCCTGCTGAGGAGTCTTGATGAAAAAGGAGAAAAGCCACCACATCCATCTCATGAAGGATGAGTGCCGAATCAGTTCAGATTGGACTGTGCCAGGGTGTACAGAATACGTCGTAACGCCAGAGCCTGGTTGGGGGTGGCATGAAGAGAGGGGAAGACAAGACTTGATTTTGCAGAATGGCCCAAAACAGCAAAGGATGTAAATAAACATGTAACCTTCACACATAGACTCTTTGCCCATGGTGACATCAGAAGTACTGCTTACAGTAATTTATACTTACATCTCACAGATCTAAGAAGGCTCTAGAGTATACAGTGCTAAGGACCTCTGTGTATTTGCCACTGGAAACTTTCCTGTCAGGAATCAGCAGAGCCAAGACTCATCCACTCAGCAGCACTTAACATTGTTGACCACCCCCTTCTTTTTTTCTTTTTTAGAGATGGGGTCTCCCTAAGTTGACCAGGCTGGTCTTGAACTCCTGGCCTCAAGCAATCCTCCCACCTTGCAGGCATGAACCACTACACCCAATGCATCTCCCTCCCTCCCTCACTTCCCTTCCTTCTTTGCCTCCTTCCCTCTCTCTCTCTCTTCTTTCTCCAGAGTTAGATCTGTAGTGAACACATCTTTTTTTTTTTTTTTGAGCCAGAATCTCACTCTGTTGCCCAGGCTGGAGTGCAGTGGTATGATCTTGGCTCACTGCAACCTCTACCTCCCAGGTTCAAGCAATTTTCTCCTGCCTCAGCCTCCGAAGTAGCTGGGACTATAGGCGTACGCCACTATGCCCGGTGAATTTTTGTATTTTTAGTAGAGACGGAGCTTCATCATGTAGGCCAGGCTGGTCTCGAATTCCTGACCTCAAATCATCTGCCCGCCTTGGCCTCCCAAAGTGCTGGGATTACAGGCACCCACTGCTTCTTAAAGTCTTCTTTTTCACTGGCTTCCATGAGCCTACACCACTTCTGGTTTTCCTAACCTTTCTGGTTGCTCTGTCTCAGTTTTCTGGACCAGTTCATCATCTTCTATGCAAACAAATGTTGGAGTTCTCATGGCTCACCAGACTCCCTCTCCATAATTCTACAGTGCTTACATTTTGTCCACAGCCCAAATTGCTCCTCTGAACAGCAGACACACTGGGTGTCAACATAATGTGGTGGTTATGGGCATGGACTTTGTAGACAGACTGCCCAGTTTCAAATCCTGGCTGCACTCATTAGCTGTGTAACCTTGGGCAAGTTCCCTTTTGTGACTCATTTCTTTATACCTAAAATGGGAATAATCATGATACCTACACCTCACAGGGTTGTTCTGAGGATTAAATGAGTTCATATATGTTAAAGATCTTAGAAGAATGCCTGGTGTGGTGGCTTACCCTGTAATCCTAGCACTTTGGGAGGCCAAGACAGGGCAATTGCTTGAGCTTAGGAGTTCTAGACCAGTATGGGCAACATGGTGAAACCCCATCTCTACTAAAATACAAAAAATTAGCCGGGCATGGCAGCATGTGCCTGTAATCTCAGCTATTTGGGAGGCTGAGGCAGGAGAATCATTTCAACCCAGGAGGCAGAGGTTAGAGTGAGCCAACTTCCCTCCAGCCTAGGCGACAGAGACTCAATCTCAAAAAAAAAAAAAAAGAGTACCTGAGGCATGGTAACCACTAAATGACACTCTTCCACATGCAATTTCAGGCCCCCAATCCTTTATTAAAAACGCAGGGGCCAGACATACTTCAATTTTCTCCTGATTGTAGAAAGGTAATATGAAATGTATACATATACTGCCTATTATCTAATCTCCCTAGTACAGGAGATGTTTTGCTGCCAAATGAGTTTTGGTGTAAAGCTTATGAAGAAACAGAATTTTTCAGGTTTTTGTGGACTGACAACTACAGACAGCACTGTGAGTATGTATTATTCCCAACTGCCTACTCAACCCATAGTAATGCAGACTCAGAGATCCCAAATTGATTTCTATTTTTGGGAACTAAACCTGGTTCTTGCAGTGTTCCCGACATGCCCAGTCAGGCAAAAGGATTCTTGATGAATGCCCACTTAGAGCATGCATCTCCAGTCAACAAGCTCTGTGGTTTTTCTACCTTAAATACCTCTCAGGAGAGTCTGCTACCCTCCATCTCTACCACCTAGTCCAAACTACCCTGATTTCTTGCCTCTGCTGATGAAATCAACTGCTGCAACCTCTCTTACCCCCATGTTGAAAGGCTTTAATTTTAAAGGCTTCCCATTGCTGTTTGAATAAAACCTAAAATCCTTACTGTGGCCTCTAAGGATCTGGCCTCTACCTACCTCACCAGTCTCAGCTCAGATCTTTATTACTTTTGATTTCTACAACCTACCCATGGTAACCTTCACTGTTTCTCAAACTGAGCCCAGACCTCTGTACATTCTCTTCCTATTGCCTGGAATGTTTCTCAGCCTCCACATTCTTTTTTTTTTTTTTTTAAGAGTTTCGCTCTTGTCACCCAGGCTGGAGTGCAATGGTGCAATCTCATCTCACTGCAAACTTTGCCTTCCAGGTTCAAGCAATTCTCCTGCTTCAGCCTCTCCAGTAGCTAGGATTACAGGTGCCCGCCACCACACCTGGCTATTTTTTGTCTTTTTAGTAGAGATGGGGTTTCACCAAGTTGGCCATGCTGGTCTCGAACTCTTGACCACAGGTGATTCACCTGCCTCGGCCTCCCAAAGTGCTGGGACTATAGGCGTGAGCCACTGCACCTGGCCTCAGCCTCCACATTCTATTAATGCCTCTAATCCATTTAATTTATAATCATCCTTGGGGGCTCAGCATGCAACTCACTTCTTCAGAAAAGTCTTCCCTGAACCCTCAGACTGAATAAGGTCCTCCCTTAATAAGGTCCCCCCACTAAAATCCATTGTAAGTCCTGGTACTTCTTTATAACATTTATCACAATTATAATTAAACAGCCACAATAAAAAGGAAACAATCCAGATGTTGTTAAGGAAATGGATAAATACACTAAGGCACATATATACTATGACATACAACACAGCCAATACAATGAATGGGGTAAATCCATATGTACTAAATGGAAAGATCGCCAAGATACTGTATTAGAGTTTCAGTTCCTTGTGCGTGATACATACATATGCAAATACATAGGAAAATTATTGTAAAGGGGCACACAAGCTGTTGATAATGGTCACATGAAGGGAGAAGAGCAGGGGAAGAGGGGAATAAATAAATGAAGGGAGCTTTTCACCTTTAATTCTATATACTTCAATATGCTTTCAACTTTTTTTTTGATAGAGATGAGGTCTCACTATTTTGTCCAGGCTGATCTTAAACTCCTAGCCTCAAGTAATCCTCCAGTTTTGGCCTCCTAAAGTGCCTGGGATTAAAGGTGTGAGCCACTGTGCCTGGCCTTATTTGAACTTTTTACAACGAGAATTATTCATGCATTACTAGACTGATTTTACACGTAACAATTTGTATAAAGACTTGCTAATTGTCTTTCTCCCCCATTAGATGTAAACCAAACCAAGGAAGAGACTGTACCTATCTTGTTCACCAACTCATCCCCAATCCCCTAAACCAGTGCATGGAACAGCATGGGCACTGAATACATGTCTGCTGAATGGTTAAATGAATGAATCTTCTGTCATACCAGGGTTCTTTTACTGCACCATAATGATTTTCCACTGAATCCTCACAACTATTAGTTACCTCATTCACGTATTAGTGCACTTTTATCCAGTTCTTACCACTGGCCCCATCTTTCCACCTCCAGGCCACCCTAGCTTCCTGTTCAACTCTTTGGATAGTTTTAACCATCCAGTAACCCTTATCTATCCTAAACTGATCAACGATGTCATACCCTGGACACAAACTGGACATATGGACTGAGCTAACCACCACCTTCCTTCACATCTCACAGCTGTACATTGGTAGGATGATCCTATTCCAACTATAGGGTATCTGTGCCTGATTCCTTGAACCTGCATTTTGCCTGCCTCAATACCTAGCATAGTTCACCCTTGATTTCCCTTCTCTTTATTAGAAATCCAGAGTATACAGTGCTAAGGACCTCTGTGTATTTGTGATAGGAAACTCCCCTTCCCAAGCATATATTTCCCTCTTATTTGAATCTTTGCAAGGGAGACCTCTGCCCCTCCATATTCCCAGTATCTATTTTATTCTACTGCCTTTATCTAGTCCCAGTTCAGGCCCTTCCCTTCTACTCAGTCTCACTATGAGTAAAAAACCTTGCTTATGAAGCCTGAATTAATTATGACAATAAACTGTGAAATAGTCCCATTTTACATATGAAGAAGGAAGTCTTAAAAGTTAAGTAACGGCCAGGAGTGGTGGCTCATGCCTATAATCCCAACACTTTGTGAGGCCTAAGTGGGTAGATCACCTGAGTTCAGGAGTTCAAGACCAGCCTGACCAACATGGTGGTGAAACCCTGTCCCTGCTAAAAATACAAAAATTAGCTGGGTGTGGTGGCACATGCCTGTAGTCCCAGATACTTGGGAGGCTGAGGCAGGAGAATTGCTTGAACCCTGGAGGCGGAGGTCAGCAGTGAGCCAAGATCACACCATTGCACTCCTGAGAGCGAGACTCTGTCTCAAAAAAAAAGTTAAGTAACTTGTTATAGATCACACAGCTAATAAGTGGAAAAGCCAGGCCTTCAGACTCAAAGTCAGAGTCTCACTGTCCCCAGCCAGCTACCTCCAACATTCAGTTGTGGACCACTTACTAAACCTATACTCAGTTATAGCCACGGAAACAGGTTTTCTCCAGGTGATGGGCTCTGGAAACAGTTTCCACTTCCTGGCTTTTACCTGCCTCTCTCTGACTCATGTCTCCACACTTCTTTCCTCCAGGCCCACCTTTTAGTCTCCGAGCCAGTTCCTGGGTGAAGAGGATGTTGGCTAGTTTGCTGTGACAGTAGGCCAGGCCTGCATTGTAGAATTTCTCGCCCTGCAGGTTATGGAAGTGGATCCTTCCCAGGAGATGTGCAAGGGAAGACACATTTACTATCCTTGATGGGGCTGATTCCTTTAGTTTCTCTAGCAGCAGATGGGTCAGGAGGAAGTGACCTGTTGAGAAGTACTAGAATTAATGAAGTTCAGAGCCATGTGGGAATGACAGGAGTCACAGTGAGTAGGTCTCAGGTATGGGAGGCAGAGAATCCAGAAATAAGGTCTTTCCCTCCAACTTTTCATTATCAACTAGAAAACAAGTTCAGTGAAGGTTCAAGGAAACAACGACAGCCAAAGACATGCGAAATCTTTATATGAGTGAGATAGGTCTAGACTATGTGAATATGAAGTCCCAGCTCATTCCTACTTTGATTGATCTCATTCTTACGAGCCAGTTGGCTAGGTGTAGTGGCTCAGAGCTGCAATCTCAGTACTTAAGGAGGCTGAGGCAGGAGGGTGCTTGAGGCCAGAAGTTTGAGACCTGCCTCAGCAACATAGCAAGACCCTGTCTCTACAAAAAAAGAGCAGATGGCCTATACCTGGTTCTGGCTTCAAGGATCACTACTAAGAAAGGAACACAGTCCTCTAAACCCATTAGGCTATTAAAAAAATGCGCCAAGGCAAACTGAATCTGAATCACAGATTAAAAAGTGGGAAGAAGACCGGGTGCGGTGGCTCACACCTATAATTCCAGGACTTTGGGAGGCCGAGGCGGGTGGATCACGAGGTCAAGAGATTGAGACCATCCTGGTCAACAAGGTGAAACCCCGTCTCTACTAAAAATACAAAAATTAGCTGGGCATGGTGGTGCGCGCCTGTAGTCCCAGCTACTCCGGAGGCTGAGGCAGGAGAATTGTTTGAACCCAGGAGGCAGAGGTTGCAGTGAGCCGACATCGTGCCATTGCACTCCAGTCTGGGTAACAACAGCGAAACTCCATCTCAAAAAAAAAAAAAAAAAGTGGGAAGAACGTGAAACAGGCCTCAGGTATTCCTCAGCTGTCAGGTAGGAATGCACACATAGTCTATTCTGGTCCTGAGGTTCAATCACACCACAAGAAGGCTCAATCTGACCCTTAAGTTTTCCGAAGAGAATTTTGGTTCTTTCTAGCTTTGTGATAAGGCCAGATTTCTTACCCAGGTGGTTGACTCCTATGTGCATCTCAAAGCCATCTGCCGTCTTCGAGTAGGGACACATCATCACTCCTGCATTGTTGATCAAAATGTGGAGGTGCTTTTCCTCTGCAGGGACAAGACAATGGAGTGTGGAATTGGCTAGCCAAAGCTAGTACACCTTAGAAATCTGCCTCACACTCAGGCTTTGAAAGTGAGGATGCAGGACTTCAATCTTCTCTCCATTTTCCCTTCATACTTATTTTCTGTTGTTTTTCATTTTAAGACTTTAGCTGAATCCCACCTCCTTTTACTATGGGGCAAAATTCCATTTTACACTACCAAATGACCTTCCTGATCTTTGTAGTTCAGGAGCTACCTACTCACTGCTTTTGGGAATTGTTCCATCCACCTCTCCCAATAAAGACTTCCCAAGCCAAATGGAAAGATTCCAAAGCAAGAGAAAAATGAATGTTCTCTCTGTGCCTCTACCCTGGGATTCAGATCCCCAAAGAAATAAATACTGGCTTCACCTCTTTATTGTATCTTCCAACTCTCTCTCATGGTTCATTTCCTCATGTGGTTTGTAATTTATAACTATGAGTTCAACCAGTAAAAATTTATTCCTTGGAGGCCTAGATCCCTGGGCTATGAAGGGATATACCTATAGAGTGCTCTTGGATTTGCTTTTGATGAGACACTACAGGTTTTTTACGTTAATTTCCCAGAGTATTACACCAAAAAAAAAAAAAAAAAAAAAAAAATCAAACTCATAAATATCCTCATATCATTTGGTGGTATGAATTCAGGCTCCACAGATGATGCCAGCTTCGGGTTCTAATTTTTTGCAGATGACTCTATCCATCTATATCCTAAAGAGATGGTAAGCTTCATCATGTCCCTGAGTTATTATTAGCCTCTATACTATGGACCAGGTAGCCTTCTGTGAATCTCAACGTTGCGTGGAACCTCAAATGCAGCTCCAGATCTCAAGGGCCTGTGGCTTCATCTCCTATCCCTGTATAGGTATTTAGACCCCAGACCCTAAAAAGCCCATACTGAGTTCTGAGACTCCCATGAGAGTTCTGGCTTCAGCTCTTACTCACTGCTATGATGTTTTGAATTTCTGTTTCGGCCTCTGGAGGATATCCCTTTGACATAAATCATGTCCCAGTGACTATGAGTTCAGCTACAAAATTTTTGGCTATATTTTATCCACCATTTCTATGAGGGAGAGGCCTTTCCTTTTAGTTAAATCTGCCATGTTGATCTCAAGACCCACAACATAGTCTCTCCAATTCTTCACTTACCTGCTAAGAAGCCCTTAGCAAATGCTCGAATAGACTTAGTATCAGACAGGTCCAGTTTCCGCACCAACACCTGCTGGTTTCCAGTCATGGTCTGTATCTCTTTGGCCACAAATTCCCCCTTTTGCACATCCCGGCAAGCTAAATATACTCGAGCTCCTGTCAGTCAGCATATGACATAGGAAAGAGAAATGATCAGCTCTGTTTTTTTGTTGGCATTATAAATCTGATGTTATTTCCAACATTTTTTAAAAACACACATTTTTACTCCTCTACAACAGAGGTATCTGATTAGCAAATAGGGAAGGAAAAATAAATTAACAATATTCATTAAGAGTCCATTATATGCAGAGCATAGTACTAGTTTCAGACCATCAAATCAATGGAATTCTTAAGTGTTCTTGAATTCCAAAACTGAGAAGAAACAATGAGAATGAGTCATCATCACTGTGAGGGGTAAAAGGGCAGTAATAGGAGGGAACTGAAAGGTGAACTTGCCTCTCTGAGCCAACTCTTTGGCTGTCTCCTTCCCGATACCTGTATTAGCTCCAGTGACCACAACTACCTTCCCAGGAAGCTGAACAGTTGATGTACACACTCCACTGGACAGCATTTTCCTGCAGAGAAGGAGAGCTCATCAATTCTTCATTCTCCTGTCTCACCAGTAGGTTCCAGCAACTCCCTGTGTCTTCAGGCTGAGGTTTGCTTCAGTTCTTTAGTAACCGTTGTCCTTTTAAAGGTTTAAGGAAAGTTGGAGGAAAGATGGTAAAAGTTTTCTGCTTTTGCTCAAAGACAAAAGTGATTCTATTACAAGGGCAAAGCTTACAGCTGCTCCCTGCAGCACAAAAACTGGAAGAATATCTGATTAGCCAGGCACCTGGCTTTGATTTGAGCTCTCCCTAAGGCACTTGTGGCTTAGGAAATCACAAGATTCAGCCCAGATAAAGAAAGAACAAGTTTCTGTAGGTCAATCTGTCCTCAACTGGCATTTTTATGGCCCTGAGAAATGGCTAATCCATACGAAAAGTTGAAATTATGAAAGCTTGTGACTCCGGGACAAAATAAACAAGAAAAAAAAAATACCCCACGCATGCACACATACACTTAAAACAAAGAGATTATGTACATACAAAGAGGAGCTGGAATTCACGTCTTGTTCTAATTAGAGTTCTTGTTTCTAAGCACTGTACCCTACTGCCTTTTCCAAATGAATGAATGCACAGACATGGACTGGCAGTTCTCAGACTGTTCTAGTCTCTTCTTGGCAATGTTGGGACTCTGGTTAAAACAATCTGTTGACCAGGAGTTACACTTTTAAAGAGCATTTCAGCCTTTTTCATTGAACTTGAAATTGCAAGGTACATACACTTAGCCATTGAAGCTACTTGGTTAGTGCAAAAATGCCGACAGGGAGACAGATTAACTGAACTCATGGTACCCACCAACCATTACCTTCCTCCTCAGAGAACAAGCCTCCAGGCTGTTTCCCACATCCCTTTACTGTAGTTCCAGGAGTGACAACTTAGTAGGACATATACTTAGCTCTTTCTTTTCCTTAATCAGTAGGAATGAAAGATACAATCCACTATAAAAGTCCGGCTCTGGCCCAAATCCCATGGCCCTGCTGAGTTGGGAATACAGCTCCTGCAGTGTATGTATGTGTATATATATATATATATATATATATATATATATACACATTTTTTTTTTTTTTTCCAGAAAAATTCCACTGGGGTATGAGCACTATTTTCAGTAGTTCTGGTTCAACTTTTCATTGAGATTCTATTTGGATAAGTGGATCTCGTAGTGAAAAAAAGATAAAAATCAGTGTTTTCATCTGAGTGTGAGCACCACATGTGCCTAGAGGCGGGAGAACTGAGTGTTCAAAAGGGAGAAAAAATATAACTGGAAGAGGGGCACCAGAGAGGGAAGAGAAAATAAAAATAAAGGAAGGAAAGTAGGTGATCGAGGTGAGAAATGACTGATCTGGCTTGGCTTCAAGCTCCACTGGGACTAAGACCGCCCACCTAGGGAAGGGGTGTATCTATTCAATCACTGGTCCGTCACTACTGGTGACTTACTTAGAACCAATCAGCAGGCTGCCGGTGGTACAGCCCGCTGCTGATTGCCTGGGGCACTTGGCCAGCCTTGGGCTGATCTATCACCTGGTCAATACCTTCCCACCATTCTCCCAGCCCTCACCGCCTCGTACCCTACCTAGCTCGAAACTCAGATCCCCCGTGCTCCTGCTAGCAAGGCAGGATAGAACTCATAACCAAACACTCTTCCTTTACAACATCCGCCCAGAGAACGAACGATTCTAACAGCAACGAGAGAGCAAATATGGGGCCGCAGATGTTACGATTGCCATCAGTTTCAGAGGGCGAAATGTGGAATCGCTCCTTTATACCTCGGATGCTGGTTCAAGGCATGGGAATTACGGAGGACAAAGCGTGGGGCCATATCCCATTCACAGGTCCGAAACTCAAGCGTTTGAGGTAGCCTTATCCTCGGGATTCCCTGGAGCCAAAATCAGGAGGTGCTGAGACAAAAGAAAAACGGGCCAGGGAAAAGTAGGGTGCCCGGAGTGCAGCCCCTTCTCACTGCCTGGGGTCTCGGTTCTCCTCCTGGCATCCAGGACATCTGGACCTCGCCTCCAACCCACCAAAGTCTGGGCCCCGCCATCTTGGAGCCCCCCTCCCAGGAGCTTTCCAAGAAAGCTTTGGTGGGGATTGTATGTTTCCTTCCCGCCCTCCAACAAGAATTCGCAAGAGAAGGCAATACATTTGCACAGACCTGATTTGGGGCGCAGCCACATACAGAAGGAAGGGGAAAAGGAGAAGCAGCAGCAGGAGCAGGAGCTCAACCATCTCTGCCGCCTACAGCGGAACCGGAGCAGGATGCCCCAGCGGTGCTCATGAACTACGGCTTCTTTTTCTAGACACGCCCCAATTCAAATTGCGACAGCCCGGGGAGCAGAACCCTCTGGGAAATGTAGTCCAGAGTTTGGCAGCCTCTGGCTGGCTACGTGGGAGCGCCGCAGCCGACGCTGGCAAAAGTTGAATTACGCACCAGAGACACCACTAATCTCCAACCACCTAGGGCCTAGGGCCTAGGGCCTGTGGGATCATTCACCCAGCTCTCCCTTACGGCCACCCGAGGTGTTTGTGAAATCTCTACAGTCCTCTAACTCCCCAGACCCAAGTCCAATCCTTGGTTCAGTTTTCCCTAATCCTGGTTAGGCAGTTACCGCAGTTTCTCCTGGAGATCAGATGTGGAGGTCTGGGATATGAAAGGCGGATTAGACAAGAAAGGAGCTATCGGAGTGGAACAGTTGGGAAGGTGGGGGAGTGTAAGCCCTTCCTCCTCAAGGATTCCTTTTTCCAGTAGAGACGAAGTAATAAGTCTTTGAAGACATTCCCAGGAGAACCACTTTATTGTGTCTATCTTAAATTATTGTGGCAACTATCATGATTTTTCTAGTGTTTGAGTGGTCGTTAATAATAGAATGTCGTCTTCCTGATGGCTTGGGTCACATACTCCTGGGGTAGCAATGAATATCTCGGATTGGCACAGATGGTTTTGCCAACTCGTGAAAGTATTTAATCCTGTCCTGAATTAAGGCCATGAGCATGTTCTCTGAATAAATAGGTTCCCTGTTCAATAGTTTCTTTCATCTGAGGCCATTTCCTGGGGTTGAATGTGAGAGTGTTTTGACCAATCCATATCTGTCTGTGATTCCTTAATTGTACACAGTAATATTTTCTGGTTCTTTTGCATAATTTCAATTTGGTTAAAATACACATGTTCCAATGCATGGAACTTTAAAGGTAGCCCTCCAGAACAGGCAAGAATGCTACATGTGTAACAGATGATAATTTGTGCAGTAACATCGAGGTTGACATGTTCTTACACTAGGGACATAAATAAAGTGGGAATCCGGACCAGGCACAGTGGCTCACACCTGTAATCCCAGCACTTTGGGAGGCCAAGGTGACAGATCATGAGGTCAAGAGATGGAGACCATCCTGGCCAACATGGTGAAACCCCGTCTCTACTAAAAATACAAAAATTAGCTGGGTGCGTTGGTGCATTCCTGTTGTCCCAGCTACTCGCGAGGCTGAGGCAGGAGAATCACTTGAACCCAGAAGGTGGAGGTTAGCCAAGATAGAACCACTGCACTCCAGCCTGGTGATAGAGCGAGACTCGGTCTCAAAAAAAAAAAAAAAAAAGCAGGAATCAGGACTGGGGCTAATCAGATCAGAAGTCAACATGGTAGATTAGCATCCACGATGGAGTCAGTTTTGTCCCCCAGGTTGCATGCAGGGTCTATTGTGTCCTTAACTATTGAGCTATATTGCCAAAAGATGAAGCTGGATACTTATGTGCATTTGAAATATTCACATAAAATTTGCATGTAATTTCAGGTGGTTTATAGATACATTGGAGCCATTAATGAAACCCAGATTAAAAAGCATTGGTTATTTCTACTAAAAAATTAGCCAGGCATGGTGGTATTCATCTGTAGTCTTAGCTCTTTGGGAAGCTGAGGTGGGAGGATTGTTTAAGTCAGGAGTTGGAGACTTCAGTGAGCTAGAATTGTGCCACTGCCCTCCCGCCTGGGCGGCAGAGCAAAAATCTGTCTAAAAGCAGAGGAGAGCCTTGAGAACCCCTAACATTATGAAATGAGTAGAGGGAGGGGAGCCCAAAAATTGACTAAGAAAACAGCCAGAGAGGTTGGAGATATATCAGACAGGGTTCAATCGGAAGAATAGAAACTACACAATAATTTGAACAGAGAAAGTTTAACAAAAAAACAATTAACTATAATGGGATTGGAATAATGAGAGACTGGATAGTATAGGTGCTGTTAAACTTCTCCTGAAAAGAAAAATAAATATTTTATGCCCTGAGGAGGATTTGGTCTCTGTTGCAGCTACTCAACTCTGCTGTTGTAAATGTGAAAGCAGCCATAGATAATATTTGAACAAATTAGTTCAAATGTTATTGTGTTTACTTTTCAAGTGTTAGTGTGTTCCACAATGGGCTGGATTTGGCCTGTGGGTCATGTTTTGCCAACCTGTGTGCTACTGAGAAGAAAAGAGAACTCTAAAGAAAATAAAAGGGTTGGGCACAGTGGCTCACACCTGTAATCCCAGCACTTTGGGAGGCCGAGGTGGGTGGATCACCTGAGGTCAGGAGTTCAAGACCAGCCTGCCCAACATGGTGAAACCTCATCTCCACTAAAAATACAAAAAAATTAGCTAGGCTAATATTTTTAGATAACCTGGAAGACAGACTCAATGAAAAGAATACTTGGATTTAATTAAAATACACGAAGAATGTGTCTAGGGTTATGAATGTACAGTATATTTTAGAGGAAAGAAAACAAGGAAACTTGTATCTTAAGCAGGAAAATAAATATTTCTTAGTAACAGCATCAGAAGTCCCCTGGTCATATAGAATAAACATATCAAGAAAAGCCAAGACTACAGAATCAAGTTATAATGGAGGAAAATTGTTTTTTTCTAGATCTTTAAGATAAACATTTTAGCATCAGGCCACACCAGAGTTAGAACCAGAAAAAAGATTACAGAAGTTGGCTGGGTATGGTGGCTCATGCCTGCAATCCCAGTACTTCCAGAGGCCGAGGTGGGTGAATCACCTGAGATCAGGAGTTCAATACCTGCCTGGCCAACATGGTGAAACCACGTCTCTACTAAAAATACAAAAATCAGCTGGTCGAAGTGGTGGGCACTGGTAATCCCAGCAACTCAGGAGGCTGAGGCAGGAGAATTGCTTGAACCTAGGAGGCAGAGGTTGGAGTGAAATGAGATTGCGCACTCCAGCCTGGGTGACAAGAGCAAAACTCCACCTCAAGAAAAAAAAAACCCACAAAGATTACAGAAGTTGACAAAAAGTTTGAAGGAGAGGAGTATCATTTCAGCCAAGAAAAAGTTGTATCTTTTTAAGGGCATAAAAAAGAGACAACAATGATGTATGGCTTGTGAATCAATGTGCAGTGTGGTATAGCACAAGTTGAATTTTTTGAGATATAAAGTTGAGAAGTTTTTGAAAAGAAATAGATTATAGAATTTAAAATCAAAACCTCTTATAATTCACTAAGAGCAAATTTATACTTTAAGAAAATGTTATTTTAACATAGAGGACCATAGATTTTTAGTTTTGCATTAGTATATTTTTAATACAAAAGTTCAATTTTTAGAAACACATAATTTCTTTTTGATTATAGACAACTAAATCACATATACATGTTTAAAAATTTTAAAGAACTCTATTATGATTTATATAGACTATTCATGACATGTTTGAACTTTTGTGCTACACTTTTGTTTCTATAATTAACTGGTCATTTGGCTTCAGGAAAATAATTTACCATGTAAGGCAAATTATTATCATGAAATAGCATGATCAGCTCACCATAACCTCAATTCCTGGGCACAATCCCCCCTCCTCAGCTTCCTGAGTGGCTAGGACTACAGGTAATTGCCACCATGCCAGACTAATTTTCAATTTTTTTCTGTAGCAATAGTGTTTCACTATGTTGCCTAGGCTGGTTTTGAACTCCTGGCCTCAAGTCATCCACCTGCCTTGGCCTCCCAAAGCATTAAGATAACAGGCATGAACCACTGTGTCCAGCTTTTTAAAAAAATTTGTATATGTGTGTGTATATATATATATATATATTTTTTTTTTTTTTTAATGGAGACGAGGTCTCATCATGTTGCCCAAGCTGGTCTCAAACTCCTTAGCTCAAGTGATTCTTCTACCTCAGCCTCCCAAAGTGCTAGGATTATATACATGAGCCACCATGCCTGGCCTGCGCCCAGGTTTTTAAAGTTATTTTTCGATTAACCATTTTCATAACCTGTGAATCTCAGATATGCACGTAAGCAAGAACTTTAAAGTTAAATATATTTTGCCAATAACTGAGAAGATTTAGCTGTATTTCTTAAACAAACATTATTAAATTAGTCTTACTTATCAAAAATCACACAAAGTTTATTTTTGTTTTGGCTGGGTTTGTAGTATTATACCTTTTGTGCCAAACCCTGACAGTGTAAAATATTTAATGACAAGTATAAAATTGACCATAAATCTAGGCAAATATGTATGTTGACAATTTGAAGACATTTTAATATTTATTTTACTAATAATTTTAAAGCCAGTTTATTTATTAAAAAATTACTTAAGTTGGCCGGGCGCGGTGGCTCAAGCCTGTAATCCCAGCATTTTGGGAGGCCGAGGCAGGTGGATCACAAGGTCAAGAGATCGAGACCATCCTGGTCAACATGGTGAAACCCTGTCTCTACTAAAAATACAAAAAATTAGCTGGGCATGGTGGCGCGTGCCTGTAATCCCAGCTACTCAGGAGGCTGAGGCAGGAGAATTGCTTGAACCCAGGAGGCGGAGGTTGCGGTGAGCCGAGATTGCGCCATTGCACTCCAGCCTGGGTAACAAGAGCGAAACTCCATCTCAAAAAAAAAAAAATTACTTAAGTCATGTGAACTTGGAAGACCTTTGGGCTCCCTAATTTATGAGTGCTCATTTGTTTATTTATAAGTCAATTGGGTATCACGTGGATGAAACAGATAACATTATGTGTATATATGTAAACACATCTAAACACATATATATACATGCACAAATAGAGATCTTATACCTTTCTTTTTTTGTTTTTTGAAACAGAATCTCACTCTGTTGCCCAGGGTAGAGAGCAATGGTGTGACCATGGCTCACTGCAGTCCTGACCTCCCAGGCTGAAGCGATTCTCTCATCACAGCCTCCTGAGTACCTGGAACTACAGGTGCATGCCACCATGCCTGGCTAATTTGAAAAAAATTTTTTTGTAGAGTCAGAGTCTCACTATGTTGCCAGGGCTGGTCTTGAGCTCCTAGGCCCAAGTGATCTTCCTACGTTGGCCTCCCAAAGTGCTGGGACTGCTGGCACGAGT